AAGAGGGCCCCAAAACTGCCTCAGAGAGCCCCGAAACTGGTCACAAGAAACCCAACATGCCCCCAGAAGGCTTCCTAGAGAGACCCACGAAAGCCATGGGACACGCCCAAGAAGGCCACTGGAGGCCCCATAGAGGGCCCCAAATGGCTTCAGAAGACCCCTGGCGGACCCCAGTTCCCCAAGACGGCCCAAGAAGGCCCAGGGCGGCACAAGAGAGCCCCATGACGGCCCCCAAAAACACCAATTATGCTACCGAGGAACCCCACATACTGTTTTTATATTCTTGTGTTTGTATACCAAACACTTGCGCACTCCCTTGAGGCGCCGAGAAAGTGTCGGCGCCTTGAGGCGCCGAGAAAGTGTCGGCGCCTCAAGTGTCAGCGAGCGTCTCGGGCCACCAGTTGAGAAGCTGTCGCTGGTAAGCATTAAATGCGCTGCGTACCAAGCCGCCCCCATGCCTGTCAACATGTTCGCGCAAACCCTCTACACTCACTTCGGCGCCCAGCTCTAGCATTGACTTCTTGATCTGCTCGCATGGAGGCGGCAGCGCCGACATGTCACATTTGGGCGCCATGGCAAGCGCTGCACCTTTGACGGACAGTTACCGGCGCTAGCACGCCTCAGTGGAAATCCGAACGGTCGGAGCCTGCATGAGCCGAGGTGGCTACGAATTCTTGATGACGGTTACACTCACCTCGCTTGCGTTCCCCTGTGCCCTGAACGCAACCAGTCCAGATAGGAAACTTGCTTACCGATGTGCCCTGAGCACCGCCGTCACGGATAGCGGCCGCGGTGAGAGACCACCCCCTGCGCACCCCCTACGGTGTCGAGAATATGCCATGCCTGCTGTGCCCTGGACGACAGTCACGGATAGCGGCCGCGGTGAGAGACCACCCCCTGCGCACCCCCTACGGTATCGAAAATATGCCATGCCTGCTGTGCCCTGGACGACCGTCACGGATAGCGGCCGCGGTGAGAGACCACCCCCTGCGCACCCCCTATGATGTCGAGAATATGCCATGCCTGCTGTGCCCTGGACGACCGTCACGGATAGCGCCGCGGTGAGAGGACCACCCCCTGCGCACCCCCTACGTGTCGAGAATATGCCATGCCTGCTGCGCCCTGGACGACCGTCACTGCGGCCGCGGTGAGAGACCACCCCCTGCGCACCCCCTAGGTGTCGAGAATATGCCATGCACGGATGCTGCTCAGGCCCTGGACGACACGCCTGCACGGATAGCGGCCGCGCTCAGGGACCACCCCCTGCGCACCCCCTATGGTGTCGAGAAAGTGCCACGCCTGCTGCCTGGACGACCGTCACGGATAGCGGCCGCGCTCAGGGACCACCCCCTGCGCACCCCATGGTGTCGAGAAAGTGCCACGCCTGCTGTGCCTGGACGACCGTCACGGATATCGGCCGCGCTCAGGGACCACGCACCCCCTATGGTGTCTGCCACGCTTGCCCCTGGACGACCGTCTGGTAGCGGCCGCGCTCAGGGACCACCCCGAGAAAGTGCCACGCCTGCTGTGCCTGGACGACCGTCAGGATCAGGGCCTGCGCCGATGGTGTCGAGAATATACCATGTGCTGTGCCCTGGACGACCGTCAGCGGCCGCGGTCCCCTGCGCACCCCCTAGTGTCGAGAATATGCCATGCCTGCTGTGCCCTGGACCGTCACGGATAGCGGCCGCACCACCCCTGCGCTACGTGTCGAGAATATGCCATGCCTGCTGTGCCTGGACGACCGTCACGGATAGCGGCCGCGGTGAGAGACCACCCCCTGCGCACCCCCTATGGTGTCGAGAATATGCCATGCCTGCGTGCCCTGGACGAACGGATGCTCAGGGACACCCCTGCGCCTGTCGAGAAAGTGCCACGTGCCTGGACGACCGTCACGGATAGCGGCCGCGCTCAGGGACCACACCCCTGGACGACCGTCACATCCCTGCGCATGGTGTCGAGAAAGTGCCACGCCTGCTGTGCCTGGACGACCGTCACGGATAGCGGCCGCGCTCAGGGACCACCCCCTGCGCACCCCCTATGGTGTCGAGAAAGTGCCACGCCTGCTGTGCCTGGACGACCGTCACGGATAGCGGCCGCGCTCAGGGACCACCCCCTGCGCACCCCCATGGTGTCGAGAAAATGCCACGCCTGCTGTGCCTGGACGACCGTCACGGATAGCGGCCGCGCTCAGGGACCACCCCCTGCGCATCCCCCATGGTGTCGAGAAAGTGCCACGCCTGCTGTGCCTGGACGACCGTCACGGATAGCGGCCGCGCTCAGGGACCACCCCCTGCGCACCCCCTATGGTGTCGAGAAAGTGCCACGCCTGCTGTGCCTGGACGACCGTCACGGATAGCGGCCGCGCTCAGGGACCACCCCCTGCGCACCCCCATGGTGTCGAGAAAGTGCCACGCCTGCTGTGCCTGGACGACCGTCACGGATAGCGGCCGCGCTCAGGGACCACCCCCTGCGCATCCCCCATGGTGTCGAGAAAGTGCCACGCCTGCTGTGCCTGGACGACCGTCACGGATAGCGGCCGCGCTCAGGGACCACCCCCTGCGCACCCCCTATGGTGTCGAGAAACGCCTGCTGTGCCTGGACGACCGTCACGGATAGCGGCCGCGCTCAGGGACCACCCCCTGCGCATCCCCCATGGTGTCGAGAAAGTGCCACGCCTGCTGTGCCTGGACGACCGTCACGGATAGCGGCCGCGCTCAGAGACCCCCCCCCCTGCGCACCCGCAGCCGAGCTCAGGGACCACCCCCTGCGCACCCCCTGTAGTGACGAGAAAGTGCCACACACGGGTGGTGTTGTGTAGTGTGGTGTGGTGTGGTGTGGTGTGGTGTGGTGTGGCGTGGTGTGGTGTGGTGCGATGTGGTGTGGTTGGTGTGGTGTGTGTACGAGCGAGAAGGAGGAGGTGAGGTGGAAACGCGGGTGTGACGCGGGTGTAGAGAAAATCAGAACCCCACTTAGAATGTGGGGAAAAACGCCCAGACGGCGTCCTCCTACGACGTACATCGAGCTGACCCGAAGATCTTGGTTCCACGCTTGAGGCTCGAGGTATACATTCCTCGATCGAGAGAGACAGGCAATAAATCTAGATTCGAAGTTCGACGATCGAAGATTCCCAGAGTGCCTGGAACCCTCCAGGCATTCAGGAAACGACCGAACATCGATCTGTTCGGAACTACTGCGACTTCTTCGGCGTGTCATGGGAACGTTCCTTTCTTCCTCAAAAGGATACACTCAACCACCAAAGGATGCGCAATAGGAAAAAAGGAGGAAGGGATGGGTCGGGAGAACCCTTGGAGGTGGCATATGAAAAAACCAGACGAAACTTTTCTCCCTACCTCCTCCCATGAGGAGCCAGTCGCCCGTCCAGGTCTCGAGGTCCCCCCTTCTGAAGCAAACGGTGATTTATTGCTCTGACGGGGAAGCGTCTGGAACTAGGCGCATGGCGCGAAGCGCCAATGCAGTCTTGTATATTGAGATAGGTGTGTATATATTTATACGTCTACATGTACATATATATATATATATATATATATATATATATCACCAACAATATGTGTTGCATAATCGCCAACACCCCGTGTTGAATGCTTTTGCGCCTGCTTCAATCCGCTTAATATCCTGTTTGGCATGTCTCTGGAACCAGCAGGAAACCTCCGTGCCTGGAGTCTGCTTCAATCCGACATCAATCCGCACTGATTTCTGTTCACACCAATCACATGGAATGCACTTCATTCCCGCTACTAGTTTCATTATCACTTCTATCTTGCTTTACTTTTCCAATAGGAATGGAGCACACCCCAGGTTAAGATGAATCCGATGGGATTTGAGCTGACCTTAACAGGCAAACGACGAGAAACAATATGTTCCCAGCCTGCGGGAATTCGATTTGCTTCGAAGAACACCTGGGTACGATGCAATTAATTATTCGGCGGCCCGCACCCATGTGATGTATGTTCGATTTGAACAGCTCACACATAGCTTTCTTAACAAACACACAACGATACCGACATTAGAAACCATAGCTCGGCATTGCCAATCAAACCGGCCTTTGCCATTTCATATGGGGAGCCCGTGTTCGGATCGCAAAGCCCTTGTGAACCAAACGTGGGCTTAGGCATGCTGTGCCATCAAAGCATGTGTTTTTGCAGTGAAGACACATGTGAATACATCAACGCGCTGTAAGCCACAGTGGCTGATGCATCAGAAACGAGAATGCGCAACTCAGAACGCGCCGACGGAGGCGTAGCCGCACCAACACAACATTAAAATAACACGACGGTGCTAGGCAAGCTGTTACACCAAACCCGGTCCTTCAACTGAACTACCGTTTTTCATGGACGCCACGAAAACAGCATTATGCTAGATGTACTCGTATAAATATTCACATACATAAATACATGTGCACACTATATGTGTGTGAAAATGTATGTATGTCTGTATGTATGTCTGTTTGTATGTATGTATACATATTGTTGTCATGGGAACCGCTGAGCTCTAAAAGCTGAAGTTGCGCGATCGTCAGCAACTCAACTTCGCAGGAGCTGCAAAGAGACAACCATAACCATGCCGATGCAACTGATCAGATCGCTTCGTGTGATCAAACAGAGACAGTCCACATACAATGGAAGCATGTGGCTTTTTGTTAATTATACCTGACATATATGTTTTTAATGCTACTTGTTTGTTTGTGGCAAATTACGCCTCACTCCCTCTCCTACTCTCTCTGTCTCTCTTCCTCTGGCAGGCCTAATTTGTGGGTATTGAGGGGGCTCGTGCACACAAGGTGTTCCAGCAGAGCGCGGTCTAAGGTCCAGGGTGAACCTCCAAACAGCATTACATATCGAGCGCCGCTCTGCCACTCCCAATCCACTTGAGAGTAAACAGGGTGCTCGATCCCATCACGGACGGGCGTCGTATGAAAAAAAACCTTTCCAGCGGCGCTCGCTGGAGAAAACTGCCCGCGCTGGCTGTTTTCAAATCCACTACGCCAGGTGCCCAGGAGCACAGAGCTCGCTGAGAAGATCCCGCCGGCGTCCGCGCACGCGCACGGCGCTCCTGCTGCCCAGGTCACTTGCGTGCCGGGCACTCGTCCGCCCCGCAGCCGAGGGCGAGGCGGCGCGCGAGCTGGCCGACGCGGAGCACGATGTCCTCGTCGTCGCTGTCGTCCTCCCAGGAGGGGAGGGAACACTCTGCACTGACTACCTACCAGACCACCCCAACCCAACCCGAAGACCCGAATTTGACCCGAATTTCGGGTTGGGGGGGGTACGGATACCATGTGTTTTTTCAACGTTCCCCGACCCCCCCCCACTGGAAATCGAGGATAAATTTGGGCCTTCGGGTTGGGTTGGGGTGGTTTGGTGGGTGGTGATGCACGGGCAGAAACTCTTTGGAGCTCCGCGCGGGTGTTCCTCCGATCGGCACGGGGCCCCCCTGGCGGCGCGCGGAACTCCGTGCGCGGAGCTCCGAGAGCGCCAGCTCATGCCTGCGTCTGCCTGGTTCTGTTCTCCTCGGGTCCTCCTCCGCGCCAGAGCGCGCGTCCTGGAAGCGAAGCTCGACCCAGACTGCGTTTCCGATTTGATACACGTGCTCGCTTTCACTCGTGTCGTCCAGCCTCTCCTGCAAAACGACATCGGAGCGAAAACGGCCCACGAAATCGCCAGAACGCCGTTTCTCTCGCCATCGCTCGGACGTCCACTCCTCGTGCATTTTTCGATGTCGCGCGTGCTTTTTCTAGAAGAAGAAAAAACGGCATAAACATATTTTTGGCGCTCCGCGCGGGCTGCTTGGATCTGCGCTGGACCCTCCTCCCTGGCGCGCGGAGCGCGCCAGGGGCGGCGCCGGAGGCGCCGCCGGGGGGGGCCCTGGCGCGGATCCAAGACATCCGCGCGGAGCGCCCAAAGCTTATGTCTACGGTGTTTTCTCTTCTTCGATTTCCCCGCAAGACGATCCAGGATGCTCCTCGGTGGTGCTCGCGGGGGAGAACAAAAATACATCAGAACAAAAACCCCAACCAGTGGATGGTTTGAAATGGGATCGATAAAAAGATCGATGAGAAGATCGGCTGGGAACCCAGGAACCTGGAACCACCGAAATCGGCCCAGAACCAATAACCAGGAGCCCGGCACCGGGAACCCGGGAGCCCAGCAGGCTAACAACATCGGCGGGAAACTTTCGCCAAACCTTGCAATTTCCGCTAGGACCCCTTCAGAGCAAGCACCGATTGGGGAAATACCGCACCCCTCCGAGCGATGCCAAGGTTTATTGAGCAGGGACCGACCGTCCCGGCATTCCTGTAGTCCTACCACGACATGTTCTTAGAACCCAATAATGTTCGAAAGACAAAAGCAATGTTCTTAGAACATAATCCCGGTGTGTTAAACCAAGACAGACTCCGCCAGAAAGGTTCTAAGAACATTTCGTGGAAGCCACAAGAGGTTCTTAGAACATTCTTTGGTAGGGCTATGGGCGAGCCAGGACGCTTCGCCACTGCTTGAGTTCAGGGTCGGTCCCTGCCTCGAAGTGCGGCAGCGCCGCGAGCACCGCCTCCAGGGCGGGGCGGGCCCGCCTGCCCGGCGTCTCGGGCCTCTGCTCCTCCTTCGAGCAGAGGATCGACTACAGAACTGATCTGCTCCAGCATTGCGTTTTCCTGTAGGAAGCCCAGGGAAGCCCAGGGATCGCTGTAGGGACTGAGTTCCCTCCAAAACAACAAGCCCTCCCCAAACTCTCCCGAAGCCCTCCGAAAAGCCTCGCGTTATCCTTCCCGGAGGGTCTTCGGAGGGTTTGGGAGGGTTTGTAGGAGGTTCTGAAAGGAAGCCAGCCCCTACCGAACCCTGGACTTCCTGAGTTCTCCTGGCGAATCCCCGATTGTTTCGTGGATGCCGAAGGGAAAAACCAGTTTTCGGGGTATCTCAGTTCTGTAGTCGATATCCGCTGCTCGGCTCCTCGGCTGGGCAGCCATCGCTGGCCCCCGGGCCCAGCATCGGGGAGAGCGCCCACGACGCTTCCGCCTCTCGACACGAGGCAAGCGGCCCCGGGGCCATGCCGCGGGAGGTCAGCCCTACTTAGTGGGGTCGCCACGTCCTCGAGGACATGCCGCTTCCTCGGGGGAGGCTGGCTCCCAAGGGAGCGACACACGGAGCCCCCCAACACACGACCCCAAAGTTGCGAGCACCCCCGTTTTTTGACTCTTGCGAGCTTACTCGCATGGATCGGGGGGGGGCTGAGCCTGAAGCAAGCCGCACACGACTTGCACGTGCGGAATCCACGCAAATCGAAATTCACTTGCACGCCAATGATCGTTTGAAGATGGGCGAGGGGGGGGGCGGGTGGCGAATGCCATGCAAGTACACTTGCCTGAGTTTTTTCCTATAAGCTAAAGGAATCACACAAAACAGGCTCAATGCACCCTGATGGCAGCAAAAATAAAGGGGCGGGTCGAGGAGTAGTAGAAGCAGAGAAGCAGGGCCGGGGAACCCTGAGAAAGAACAGGTGCAGCCGCGGCGAGGGGGGAGAGCAAGACCGTGGGCACCTCGGTGTATTTTTGTTACATAAGGGATCGTGGCCGCCCGGATCAACACATGCAGCCGCCATGGAAGCGAGAGATCACGATCTCCGGAATTGTGGGGCGGGCAGCTATCCATGTCCACCGCCTAGGGACCGACGTCCTGGGGATCCAGCGGGCGGCGGCGACGGATATATTTGCCCCCCCTGGGGGGCCGAACACACATACATGTATATATATGTATATATGTATATGTCTGTCTGTCTGTCTGTCTGTCTGTCTGTCTGTCTGTCTGTCTGTCTGTCTGTCTGTATGTATGTATGTATGTATGTATGTATGTATGCATGTATGTATGTATGTATGCATGCATGTATGTATGTATGTATGTATGTATGTATGTATATACACACGCACACAAGATTTTAAGGCTCGCTGCGCTTCGCCCTCTAATCTTGGCCCTTGCATCTGGAAGGGCCAACGAAAAAGGTGAGACGGGGGGGCCTGAATTATCGCCGCCCGTTATTTCCAGCATTGGCTTCTCAAGTGGCCTCGAGAGGCCTCCCAGAGTCTCGTAAAGAGCCCTCCGAGGGCCCCAAGAAGACTCCAAGAGAGCTCCAAGAGGGCCCCAACATTGGCCCAAGAAGACCCGATGAGAGGCCCAATATGGCTCCAAGAGATGTCCGGGAACGTGTGACAACAATATCTGAAGTCGCCTGGGCATCGTTTCTGGATGGGCTGGCTGGTGTGGATACTTTTTGGTCGCGGCCGCAAGCGAAGGCGCAGGCGGCGTCCGAAGTCAGCCCAGGCTACGAGCGAAACCTAATTACCAAGCGCGCGCACTCACGGCTGCCGGAGCTGCCGCCGAGGGGCGCAGGGCGGCGCCGGGGGCTGAAGGCGGGCTGCGAGAGCTGCAGGTGTACCAGGCGGCTGAAGTGCAACCATCCCAGGGGCAAGACCTCCAGGAAGGCAAACGAATTGCACCCTGTGACATCGGGCGATCGCGCGGCGTTCAAAATTGCCGAGCTTCCCGGCTTTGTTGGAGCCCAACGGCGCTCGCGATACTTCGGCGACCATGGCGTGGCGACCGTTGCCCGCAGGTCGGGCAACGCGGGCTCATCCGCGAGAACCACGATGCGCGTTATCACTTCGGGTCTGTCTCGTTGCGCGCACACGTGTCAGCAAAGCTCTGGGGCCATCAGAAAATCGGGTCATGAGCTCGCTGTCGACATTACCACTGCTGCCAAACAGCGTTGTTTGTATTTGACCCGAAATTGTGCGGGACGACGCGGCTCCTGGCGCTGGTCTGGCGCATGGCGCGGCGTGGATGTCGGAGACTCCACTGGGCGACGCGGCTCCAGCTGTTGATTCGGTGCACGGCGCAGGGTGCATGTCATCAGACGATTCGAATGACATTGCTGCGTCGTCTCCTGATTCGTCCGACCCTGAATCGTCTGAGTCACCATAGATAGAATACACGCAGTTCCTGCAACGCTTTGGACGCCTCGACAACTGAGAATCCATGCGCTTTAGAGGAAGTTTTGGCAATCGCTTTCTTCAACCTCGGAATGCTCTTGTTGGGAGCTTCCAATTCTTCTTTCACTTCTTGTCGCTGTGCAGCCTTGTTTTATCGAGCCGACGCCTTTGGCTGCTTCGCCCTGCCATTGATATCACTGTTCACCCTTGGCAGGTGTAAACTCCGCTGGTTGCGATGAACGCGCTTGCCCATGGCCAGGCAAGCTCCCGTCGTTTGTCCAATGCAGATCGCAAGCAACACAATATACAGAACATAGAAACCAAATTGCCGTTTCAGGACAGGTGACTCTCATGCGAGCGCTGCGCCGCCAACAGAAATACGATCAGCATGTGGCCGGGCAGCTGTTACAAAAAGGGCCGTTTGAGACAACGGGATTCTGGCTTTAGAAAGCCTTTTTTAATCGCCATGGCTAGAAGCAGCTCGGACAACTGATATTTCGGGGGTGCCGTTGTCTCAAATCGCCCTGTTCAGAACTGCGGTGGAGAATTCGGGCCAAGATTGCTTATGGAAAATGCGTCGTCGAAAAATGAAAAAGGGGAACGGGCTCTCTCGCCCTGGCACCTTCTTGGAGTCGAAGTCGTCGTCGTCGTGGTCATTGTCCTCGTTGTTACCGGTGTCGTCGTCGTCGTCGTCGTCGTCCTATTTTCTTCGTCTGGTTGTGCTGGTCGTCGTCCCCGTCGCCACCGCCATTATTCGTCTTCCTTTTCCTTTCCCTCATGTTCCCGTCCTCTTCTTCCTGCTTATCGTCGTCGTCGTCCTCCTCCTCCTGGTCCTCCTCGTCCTCCTCCTCGTCCTCCCCCTTCTCCTCTTCCTCCTCTTCCTCCTTCTCCTCCTCCTCCTAATGCTCCTCCATATCTTCGTTCTCTGAGCGTCTGCGCAGTGCTCGTGTCATGGCCGCCTTCGTCCTGCATTTCAGTTCGCGGCGAAAGGTCGCCCTGACTTGTGGGTTGCTCCAGAAGCGGTAAATCGTTTACTTTGCGAATGGGTCTCTTGCGTGGTAGATGTCTGCAGTGCGACATCCTTGCGCGGGTTCTGAGCTGCTCGTGCCCATGAGTGCCCTGCTTCGCGTGCAATTTAGGCATTGTGTTTGTACTCGTGTTTTGCGTGAGCATGGCGCGCTGTTGCCATGTTAGTTGCGCTCCGTCGCGCATTTGTGTTCTAGTCAAATTTGTGTGACGTCTCTATTCGTAAGGGAGCCTTGTCGTTGAAAGCTTTCCACGTCATCGTTCATAATAGGGCCTTGGGGTCCTCTTGTGGTGAGGTTTGATGCCTTTGGGAGCCTCCTTGGAAGCGGTTTTGGGGGCTTGCATAAGGGGATTCGTAGCGCCTTGGGGGGGCTTGTAATGTTGGACGTGGTCCGTCCTGTATTTCAATTGTTGGAGTGGCTGCATCCTCGTTTGGAGTTCGAAGGAAACGGTATCGTCCTGCATTTCTGCTGTTCGGTTTTGTCTGTAAGTGGATCCAAAGCACAGTGCTTTGTGTCAGTGTGGAGCATTCGAAGGGCGGCGGCGTTGTGATCGAGGCTTGTTTGAAACAGGTTTGAATGGCTTGTGTTTGGACAGGTCGTGGCGCAGTGAAGCTAATGTGCTTGTCATCGGGTTTGGCGCGAATGTGGGTGGTATTGCAGCATTGACCGCACGCCGTCGTGCAGTTCTGTTCTGGGCAAAGTTGTTTGACGTCTTCGCTCGTGCAGGGAGCGCTGGCGTTTATCGGCGGTGGGCAAACCTCCCTTTAGTAGACCTCCCCTTAGCGAAAACGGCCTGGGACCGAAACCGACGGACCTGGACCCGCAAAAATGACGGCCGCGACGCCCTGTCGCAAACCGAAAACGGCCAATTCCTTAATCGACGTGTCAGGGTAGGAGGTCTTTCCACCCCCGAGTTTAAAGCGTGGCGCGTGGCCCTGGGGGCCCTCCTGTGATCAGGTCTGGAGCTGTCTTGGGGCGTCCACGGGGCCCCTTCGCGCCTCGTGGGGGCCTGTGTGAACGCGGGCGGGGCCCGTCCCGTGTGTTTCTGCGGCTGGACTGGCTGTGCTCTGGTTCGAAGTGCGATGGAAAAGTACCCCAGATTTCGTAATAAAAGGGAGGGGGTCTGGACCCTCCAAGACAAGCCATTTCAGACCTCCCCCGTGGGAGAACCCTCCAAAACATCGTCCCCAGACCCCCCAGGCCCTCCAAGAAAGCCTGGAAGAGACCTGTTCCCGAAATGAGACCCCCCTCCCTTTATTACGAAATCTGGAGTACCGTGCCGTATTTCATCATTTTGGGATTGTGGGATGAGTCTCCTGGGGAACCGCAGTTTCACCTGATTCCCCCCTGGCGCGCACTCCCCCCTGCTACTCCATAGCCTGTCATGGTCCCTCTGGGCACCTGGCTCTCCCTTCCTCGTCTTTTCCCTGCGTTCCAACCCGTTGAAGGCTGAGGATAATGGATATCAGGCGGAGTGCTCTGTGCCAGCGTGGAGCGTTGGACGTGTGGCAGTTGTTTGTGATCGGACAGGTCATGATGCAGTCGAGCTAACGTGCTTGCGATTGGGTGTGGCGTGAGTCTAGCGTGCCGTTGCAAAATCAGGCGTGCGCCGTTGTGTTTCTGTGTTGAAGGCAGATGTGTTTTACGTTTTTGCTCGTGCAGGTAGCCATGGGGCGTCGTGGGGAGTCTATGGAAGCAGATTGTAAACAGTGCGGGCCCTCAGGTGATTTGCTTTGGGGTCTCTCTGGGGCCTCTTCGGGGGCGTCTTAGGGGATTCCAATGGTGGCCCAACTCCGCGCTGCATTGTACTTGTGCGCATGCGTGTTGTGTCCGCGACCGCTCGTCATCGCCATTGCCCGGCGGGCGGTGCCCTGAGGTATGGGCAATTTCCCCAGGGTCGTTTTGTCGTCCTGGGTTGATTTTTGGCGGTCCTGGGGCCCCCTGAGGGCCCCTCGCTGAGGTATTCGGGTGCTCTGGGGGTTCCAAGGGCCCGGTATTGAGGAAA